ACTCTGACACTGACTCTGACTCTGACACTGACACTGACTCTGACACTTACTCTGACACTGACTCTGACTCTGACACTGACTCTGACTCTGACATTGACTCTGACTCTGACTCTGACACTGACTCTGACACTGACTCTGACACTGACTCTGACTCTGACACTGACTCTGACACTGACTCTGACTCTGACATTGACTCTGACTCTGACTCTGACTCTGACACTGACTCTGACACTGACTCTGACTCTGACTCTGACACTGACTCTGACTCTGACACTGACTCTGACTCTGACACTGACACTGACTCTGACACTGACTCTGACACTGACTCTGACTCTGACACTGACACTGACTCTGACACTGACTCTGACTCTGACACTGACTCTGACACTGACTCTGACACTGACTCTGACTCTGACACTGACTCTGACACTGACTCTGACTCTGACATTGACTCTGACTCTGACACTGACTCTGACACTGACTCTGACTCTGACTCTGACTCTGACACTGACTCTGACTCTGACTCTGACACTGACTCTGACTCTGACACTGACTCTGACACTGACTCTGACACTGACTCTGACTCTGACTCTGACACTGACTCTGACACTGACACTGACTCTGACACTGACTCTGACTCTGACTCTGACACTGACTCTGACTCTGACTCTGACACTGACTCTGACACTGACTCTGACTCTGACACTGACTCTGACACTGACTCTGACACTGACTCTGACACTGACTCTGACTCTGACTCTGACACTGACTCTGACTCTGACACTGACTCTGACACTGACTCTGACTCTGACACTGACTCTGACTCTGACATTGACACTGACTCTGACACTGACACTGACTCTAACACTGACTCTGACTCTGACACTGACTCTGACACTGACTCTGACTCTGACTCTGACTGACACTGACTCTGACTCTGACACTGACACAGACTCTGACACTGACTCTGACACTGACTCTGACTCTGACACTGACACTGACACTGACTCTGTCACTGACTCTGACACTAACTCTGACTCTGACTGTGACACTGACTCTGACTCTGACACTGACTCTGACTCTGACTCTGACACTGACTCTGACTCTGACACTGACACTGACTCTGACACTGACTCTGACTCTGACTCTGACACTGACTCTGACACTGACTCTGACTCTGACTCTGACACTGACTCTGACACTGACTCTGACTGTGACTCTGACACTGACTCTGACACTGACTCTGACACTGACTCTGACTCTGCCACCTCCTCCATCACGGAGCCACGGCGGCGGAGGCTGATGCCAAGGCTGGTTGCCGTTGACGATGCACTGGCAGCTGACCGAGGAGCATATTTAATTGACGCGCGCACTCGCCTGATTTAACTGTGTCACTGCAGAACACATCCTCTGCGGCAGAAAACACCGCTTAGATAAATGTGTTCTATAATCGTAATAATACAGTGTTCATAAACAGCAATTAAAGCAATGGTCTGATTCACGACTGAGGCGGAAACTGCTTCCTCTGAGAAGTCCAAACTACGGCCCAAGAGCCAATTGTGGCCTGCTGTGTCATGGTTTGTGGCCCTCTACCTTTCTTCATACAAAGTACCATTGAGATTATATATACAACATCATAGTGTCATCCAGCCAACTCCAGCGCCACCAATAGAGGAATGTTGTTATAAATCTCAGAACCTCTGATTCATTCATTCTTCATACCCAACTTTTCATTTCAAAAGCACTCAGCCACCATGTGTGTCATGTGTTGTACAAGAATCAGATGAGATGAACTTTATTGATCTCACAAAATGGCCCAAAAAAGATTGAATCATATTTGTTCTTTGTCGTCTTGGTTCGGACATCTCCAGATCTGTGGCTGCTGAGGAGAGTTAAGATTGTGCCAACATCCAACATCATGTCTGAATCAGGTCTGGATCAGGTCTGGGTCATGTCTGGGTCAGGTCTGGATCAGGTCTGGGTCATGTCTGGATCAGGTCTGGATAAGGTCTGGATCAGGTTTGGATCAGGTCTGGATCACACAGGGATGGGAACCGTATTTGTGAGTCGTTTCCTGCAGCGTTAAAGAAGCAGTGTGTAAACGTGTGGCCAAAAGTGGTACTGCAGCCTCTCCCACTCTCCCTGACTCAGGTTGCCAGTGTAAGGTAATAAAATGCACTGCCCCCGCGATGACCCAGCCAAGCCGGTTGTGTGTGAGATAACAAAAACACACGGCTCGGAACATCTGAGGCGATGGAGGTCGGATAGAGCACCACAATGGCTCACATAGATACAGCAGTCATCTCAAAGACAGTGATCGTCCCCAGAGCACACCTCTGGCCCCCACCCCCGGCGAGTTCAAAGGGGGCCAGTAGGTCTGCATCGCCTCATACAAAGCCATAGACATCACCCATGGGCCGGCGATCCGGCACCGGCGTTCTACCCCCCCCCCCCCCCCAGTGGACACGGGACGCCAATACACCTGAGACGGACCAAAAAGGAGCACCGTGGACCATCGCGCCTCAAGCCACCTCTGGGCTTCCCGGGACCGATCCCCGCTCCCTGCTCCTGTGTGTGGGAAAGACTGGAGTGTGTGCGCCCGCTCTCCGTGCGTGAGGAAGACTGGAGTGTTTGACCGCCTGACCCAAACGGGTATAAAGCCCCTTCACCTCTGGGACTTGGCAGTAACAGTAAGACTTGCTGGAGTTGTATTGTGTGTGATGGTGATGTGTTTCTGACATTCCTGTTCATGTGACTTATCATCCTTGTGTGATCCCTCCCGGTTACGTTCCCGTTTCTATATGTAGTTAATAAACCCACGCTAACTTTTAAGAGTCGTCAGTGTTCTTTGTATAATTCATGATATCCCTGGCTGATATAGAGCTCAAGACCTATCAGATTATGAGACTGATCGAGGCAGAATGGATCTGTGCAGACTTTTCGAACTCTGCTGGTGCCCCTCTTACTTAAAATTTAGATCCATTCAACCCGGAGTAGGCGAGGCTTAGGACTACGTTTGCTGCGTTTAATACCGACACAAACTGATACAAAGCCTCCCCTCTCCACATTCGCTTTCTTACCCTACACCAGATATGCAGACGAATCCAGCTAGGACCATAACAGCGAGAGAAAACAAGAGTTTTGTCAACAACAAATCTATAACCAACACCTTTTTCACAAAGATAGAAATCCTGGTTTTATTCATAACGAGAACTTTTTTAGTTCTGCGGCACATGTTTTGTGTTTGTGTTTAATCATCTATCATCACAAAGTCAAAAGTCTAAAAAAGCTCAAATTTGGCCAAATGTATTTTTATCTGAGCACATTCTGACTGAGCCTTAGAACAAGATTTACCACTGGGACAAAATAAAATAATCTTGTTTTAAAAAGATACAAGAAAAGTCTTTGAACGAGAAAATAGAGCTACAGTTTTTCAAATCAGACTAAATGGCTTTGTCCCGTTGGAGAATCTGAATTCTCAGAATGCACTTAAACTACGATAAAACCCACTGGATTCAAGCAATAATTACCTCCTCTTTAATCATTTCTTCATCTCTGTAGCGTTCTGTGTGGAGCTACAGCCAAAGAAAATGACATTATTCATATCAAAGTAAAGTCAAGCGGGAGAAATGACATTGATTATGATGTAAAAAGTAATAATTGACGAGAATAATCCACATTTGTTGCCTTATAGTCCCGCTCCTCCAGGTCTGGGGCTGGTCTGGTGTCTCTGGGTGCTGTGTTTCTGAGTGTGGTTGTGGCCCTGTTTGACACCGTGTAGAAACCACCGGGGACTGGCTTTTCCGCTCTGCTCCAGATCTCGCTGCTGACGCCACACACTTGTCGTAGTATTTAGGCTGCTGAATATTTAAGGCCCGCTGGCGTCACGGTACAAGCGTCTGTGACTTTATCTGCAGCCGGTCCCTGAGAGGCACAACGTAAAGTCTGACTTATTAGTACAGGATTGTATTAGTCTGAACAATGAGGAAATGCATGTGTTTGATTGTTCTGTGGGGGGAGACTGGAGGGACATTGACCCCAGGGCAGCTGTGGCTACAGTGGTCACATATCACCACCATGTACAGAGTGAATCAATAATGTCATGTGAAGGTTTTTGAGTTTCCAAAGAGGCACAATATAAAACCCCTACGTTCCCCTAACCCAGTGGTCGGGAACCTTTTTAGCTGAGAGAGAGAGAGAGAGAGAGCCAAAACAGTCTCCTACATCCATCCATCTTCTTCCCCTTAGTCCATTTCTGGGTCAGAAACCAGTCCACAGAGCACCAGCCCCTCACTGATCCTCCTGCAGGTGCTGAGTCCACAGGAGCCTTGATCTTTCGGCGGGGGCTTCAGGAAAAGTCTTGCTCAAGGACACAACGACAGCAGTCATCAGTGGGAGTCAGTAGAGAAGGTCTCGTGGGGGCTCAGTGTGTAGAGCATTGGCCTTTGAGCCTGAAGGTCGTGGGTTCAAGCTCATCAAAAGACTTTCTCCACCGACTCCCACTGATGTCTGCTGTCGTTGTGTCCTTAGGCAAGACACTTCCCCCACATTAGAATGAGTCTGGTGTGTGTGTAGATGGTTGGTGGTGGTGGGAGGGGCCGATGGCACAGACTGGTTGCCTCGCTTCTGTCAGTGTGCCCCAGGGCAGCTGTGGCTTTGAGAGTCCAAAAAAGCGCTGTATAAAACTGATTATGGACATTTATCAACATTCATGGACATTGGTCTCTCCCATGGACCAATACCATGTCTTCTACATTCTTTGCTGTTGATTCTCTGATCGGTGTTTCGGATTTCAATGGTTTTTTAAGTCCTCTGAGATAACTACTGTTGTGATTTAGGGCTATACAAGATTTTTTTAATTGAAATCCGTGGAGGTCGGAGGCGGAGGATCTGAGGCGGCGGGACACTGCTCATGGAGGAGGTCAGATATAAACTTGAATTACTTGTATTATTTTCAATTTGTTTAATCGTCAAATATTAAAAGTCTCTGATTTTAGCTGTCATATTTTCCCACAGCGCCGTAACCAGCAAAGATGAACGCACAGATCCGTCTGTACTAGACACAAATAGCAACGCAACACCATCTAATTATCTATAATGTGAGTACAGAATACAGAGAAGAGCTGGAGGTCAGTGAAGCGTTGACGATTTGTAGATTACTCGAACATACATTACTGGTAAATGAGTAAAGGGAAAATCCTGAGAACATTACTCATCACCCTCACTCATCCAACCAGCAGGAACCAGCATGGATTCAGCTCCGAGCTACAGCAACCAGAAGAGGACATTATTCATAACAGCTACAGTGATGTCAGGCAAACGAATTAGTCTGACTTCATCACGATCAATGTAAGTGACGTGAACAGGAAAAGAAAATCTAATGTTTGATTCACGTACTCGGCCCAAACCAAACAGATACAGAAGAGGATATTTCATAATCTAATCAGAGACAAGAAACATATAGACATAACAGAAAAGAAATCATGCATAGAAAGAGAGATTTGAGCCAGAGAGAGATGAGAGAGGGGGGGGCATATGAGAGAGAGATGAGAGAGGGGGGGGGGGGGCATATGAGAGAGAGAGAGAGAGATCTCTCTCTTTAGCCAGAGAGAGAGAGATATGAGCCAGAGAGAGATATGAGCCAGAGAGAGATGAGAGAGGGGGGGGGGGAGGGGGCATATGATGAGAGAGAGAGAGGGAGATGATGAGGGGGGGGGCATATGAGAGAGAGAGAGAAGAGAGAGAGAGAGAGAGAGAGGGGGATGAGAGAGAGAGGGGGACATATGAGAGAGAGAGGGGGACATATGAGAGAGAGAGAGAGAGACATCTCTCTTAGAGAGAGAGATATGAGAGAGAGAGGGGACATATGAGAGAGAGAGGGGGACATATGAGAGAGAGAGTGAGAGATATGAGAGAGAGAGGG